CAGAATTTGTATTTATATTAGTTTTTACAAGGCTAATACATTTGCATACTCAATTGTAAATTTGTAAACAAAAAAGTTCACAGCTCAGCTAATAATGCCTGTATCGACTTCCGAATTTGTATTTATATTAGTTTTTACACGGCATACTCAATTGTAAATTTGTAAACAAAAAGTTCACAGCGCAGCTAATAATGCCTGTATCCACTTCAGAATTTGAATTTATATTAGTTTTTACAAGGCTAATACATTTGCATACTCAATTGTAAATTTGTAAACAAAAAGTTCACAACTCAGCTAATAATGCCTATATCCACTTCAGAATTTGTATTTATATTAGTTTTTACAAGGCTAATACATTTGCATACTCAATTGTAAATTTGTAAACAAAAAGTTCACAACTCAGCTAATAATGCCTGTATCCACTTCAGAATTTGTATTTATATTAGTTTTTACAAGGCTAATACATTTGCATACTCAATTGTAAATTTGTAAACAAAAAGTTCACAACTCAGCTAATAATGCCTGTATCCACGGCAGAATTTGTATTTATATTAGTTTTTACATGGCTAATACATTTGCATACTCAATTGTAAATTTGTAAACAAAAAGTTCAAAACTCCGCTAATAATGCATGTATCCACGGCAGAATTTGTATTTATATTAGTTTTTACAAGGCTAATACATTTGCATACTCAATTGTAAATTTGTAAACAAAAAGTTCACAACTCAGCTAATAATGCCTGTATCCACTTCAGAATTTGTATTTATATTAGTTTTTACAAGGCTAATACATTTGCATACTCAATTGTAAATTTGTAAACAAAAAAGTTAACAACTCCGCTAATAATGAATGTATCCACGGCAGAATTTGTATTTATATTAGTTTTTACATGGCTAATACATTTGCATACTCAATTGTAAATTTGTAAACAAAAAGTTCACAACTCAGATAATAATGCATAATCCACTTCAGAATTTGTATTTATAACAGTTTTTACACGGCTAATACATTTGCATACTCAATTGTAAATTTGAAAACAAAAAGTTCACATCTCAGCTAATAATGCATGTATCCACTTTAGAATTTGTATTTATAATAGTTTTTACACGGCTAATACATTTGCATACTAAATTGTAAATTTGTAAACAAAAAAGTTCACATCTCAGCTAATAATGAAATTTGTAAACAAAAAGTTCACAACTCCGCTAATAATGAATGTGTCCATGGCAGAATGTGTATAGTTTTTACACGGCTAATACATTTGCATACTCAATTGTGAATTTGTAAACAAAAAGTTCACAACTCCGCTAATAATGCATGTATCCACGGCAGAATTTGTATTTATATTAGTTTTTACAAGGCTAATACATTTGCATACTCAATTGTAAATTTGTAAACAAAAAGTTCACAACTCAGCTAATAATGCCTGTATCCACTTCAGAATTTGTATTTATATTAGTTTTTACATGGCTAATACATTTGAATACTCAATTGTAAATTTGTAAACAAAGAGTTCACATCTCAGCTAATAATGAAATTTGTAAACAAAAAGTTCACAACTCAGGTAATAATGCATGTATCCACGGCAGAATTTGTACTTATATTAGTTTTTATAAGGCTAATACATTTGCATACTCAATTGTAAATTTGTAAACAAAAAGTTCACAGCTCAGCTAATAATGCCTGTATCGACTTCCGAATTTGTATTTATATTAGTTTTTACACGGCATACTCAATTGTAAATTTGTAAACAAAAAGTTCACAGCGCAGCTAATAATGCCTGTATCCACTTCAGAATTTGAATTTATATTAGTTTTTACAAGGCTAATACATTTGCATACTCAATTGTAAATTTGTAAACAAAAAGTTCACAACTCAGCTAATAATGCCTATATCCACTTCAGAATTTGTATTTATATTAGTTTTTACAAGCCTAATACATTTGCATACTCAATTGTAAATTTGTAAACAAAAAGTTCACAACTCAGCTAATAATGCCTGTATCCACTTCAGAATTTAGTATTTATATTAGTTTTTACATGGCTAATACATTTGCATACTCAATTGTAAATTTGTAAACAAAAAGTTCACAACTCAGCTAATAATGCCTGTATCCATGGTAGAATTTGTACTTATATTAGTTTTTACAAGGCTAATACATTTGCATACTCAATTGTAAATTTGTAAACAAAAAGTTCACAACTCAGCTAATAATGCCTGTATCCACTTCCGAATTTGTATTTATATTAGTTTTTACAAGGCTAATACATTTGCATACTCAATTGTAAATTTGAAAACAAAAAGTTCACATCTCAGCTAATAATGCATGTATCCACTTTAGAATTTGTATTTATAATAGTTTTTACACGGCTAATACATTTTCATACTCAATTGTAAATTTGTAAACAAAAGGTTCACAACTCCGCTAATAATGCATGTATCCACGGCAGAATTTGTATTTATATTAGTTTTTACAAGGCTAATACATTTGCATACTCAATTGTAAATTTGTAAACAAAAAGTTCACAACTCAGCTAATAATGCCTGTATCCACTTCAGAATTTGTATTTATATTAGTTTTTACAAGGCTAATACATTTGCATACTCAATTGTAAATTTGTAAACAAAAAGTTCACAACTCCGCTAATAATGCATGTATCCACGGCAGAATTTATATTTATATTAGTTTTTACAAGGCTAATTCATTTGCATACTCAATTGTAAATTTGTAAACAAAAAGTTCACAACTCAGCTAATAATGCCTGTATCCACTTCAGAATTTGTATTTATATTAGTTTTTACATGGCTAATACATTTGCATACTCAATTGTAAATTTGTAAACAAAAAGTTCACAACTCCGCTAATAATGCATGTATCCACTTCAGAATTTGTATTTATATTAGTTTTTACAAGGCTAATACATTTGCATACTCAATTGTAAATTTGTAAACAAAAAGTTCACAACTCCGCTAATAATGCATGTATCCACGGCAGAATTTATATTTATATTAGTTTTTACAAGGCTAATTCATTTGCATACTCAATTGTAAATTTGTAAACAAAAAGTTCACAACTCAGCTAATAATGCCTGTATCCACTTCAGAATTTGTATTTATATTAGTTTTTACATGGCTAATACATTTGCATACTCAATTGTAAATTTGTAAACAAAAAGTTCACAACTCCGCTAATAATGCATGTATCCACTTCAGAATTTGTATTTATAACAGTTTTTACACGGCTAATACATTTGCATACTCAATTGTAAATTTGAAAACAAAAAGTTCACATCTCAGCTAATAATGCATGTATCCACTTTAGAATTTGTATTTATAATAGTTTTTACACGGCTAATACATTTGCATACTAAATTGTAAATTTGTAAACAAAAAGTTCACATCTCAGCTAATAATGAAATTTGTAAACAAAAAGTTCACAACTCCGCTAATAATGAATGTATCCACGGCAGAATTTATATTTATATTAGTTTTTACAAGGCTAATTCATTTGCATACTCAATTGTAAATTTGTAAACAAAAAGTTCACAACTCAGCTAATAATGCCTGTATCCACTTCAGAATTTGTACTTATATTAGTTTTTACATGGCTAATACATTTGCATACTCAATTGTAAATTTGTAAACAAAAAGTTCACAACTCCGCTAATAATGCCTGTATCCACTTCAGAATTTGTATTTATATTAGTTTTTACAAGGCTAATACATTTGCATACTCAATTGTAAATTTGTAAACAAAAAGTTCACAACTCAGATAATAATGCATAATCCACTTCAGAATTTGTATTTATAACAGTTTTTACACGGCTAATACATTTGCATACTCAATTGTAAATTTGAAAACAAAAAGTTCACATCTCAGCTAATAATGCATGTATCCACTTTAGAATTTGTATTTATAATAGTTTTTACACGGCTAATACATTTGCATACTCAATTGTGAATTTGTAAACAAAAAGTTCACAACTCCGCTAATAATGCATGTATCCACGGCAGAATTTGTATTTATATTAGTTTTTACAAGGCTAATACATTTGCATACTCAATTGTAAATTTGTAAACAAAAAGTTCACAACTCAGCTAATAATGCCTGTGTTGGGTCAAAACCCAAATAGTACATTTGATTATAGTCAAATTCCGCGCCTTCTGACTGTTAGGTAACATTACATCTGTTATACGGATGCTGCCAACTCATATGAACGAATGGGTGGCAGAGAGAAGAAGAAATAGTGTGAAAAAGAACTTGAAGTTGTACGCCATTAGCATTGTTGGAAAAAATTGAAGTTGAAGAGAACTGAATTAAGAATTATCAATAAAGTTATACAATTAAACTAGCACCTCCGACTAATTATTTTACACTCAAGAATAAAGCTCTTGTTTCAACATTTTGGCGACCGTGACAGGACTAGTGCTAGTTTATTTTGTCTAATTTTGTGGTGATTTGTGGTTAAGTTTTCCGCCATCTTCTACTTGACCAAGTTTCGCACGCGCTATTACGAATTTGCCCTGCCAAAGTTTCGTACATTCGCGCATCGCGTTCGCTGCCGGTTTACCCAGCGTCCGCCTCACCTTGTCGCTCGCACGTCTGCACACCCACTTGGTGCAGCCTTTGTGCATCCACCGGAGCCTCTGCCGGCCACATAACTCCCGCTGCAGCAGTCCCTGCCACTGTTCACGGTCGTTGTGGATCAACATATAGTCTGGACATCGTTGGAGTGGACACGCCATCCTCCAAGCCTCACAGTCATAGTTGAAGTCGACGTCTCGGTCCTTCATCTATACATCTCCCCAGCGGAGCACCCCCAATACATAACCTCAATCGTCCCCAGCACATTTTTTTGCACTGTCCTCTTTGGCCATCGTTTTGCACCGCTGCTCGGTGAGCAAAACTTTCCACTACATCTCGTCGTCTCGCTCGCTCTCACATACCTTGTCAAGCAAGGCATCGCCAACCCGAAATTTAATAAAGTAAACAATCAAAATGTCTTCGCTGGAGCAACTTAAGTCTCAGCGAACGAGTGCTCGAAAGAACCTTACGCGCATGAGCAAATCAGTGGAACCTGACTTGAATCTATCTCCGTTGGAACTCGCTTGCCGTTTGTCGATTTTGGAATCGTATTTTAAACTCGCTTTATCCACACAGGAGGCCATAGAGCAGTTGGATCCAGCTGAGCTACACCGCAGCACTCGTTTCGAGTTAGAGGAGTTATTCATCCAAGCCAAGGTTTGCGTTCAAGAACAGCTTGGACCAGAAGCAAACAGCACAGGCATAAACGAATCTACGGTTAATTTTGGGCATACGACTGCAGTCAAGCTTCCTCGCTTAGCGTTGCCAACATTCGACGGCAAGTACTGCGAGTACCAAAACTTCATCACGTCGTTCAATCAGGTCGTAGGCCACCAGCCATCAATGTCTAAGATCGAGAAGTTCAACCAGTTGCTAAACTGTCTTCGAGGACCCGCCCTAGAAACGGTACGAGCATTCCAGGTGACCGCAGACAACTACACGAAGGCTCTGGATCGCTTAAAGCAGCGCTACGACAACCCAACTCTCGTCTTCTTGGACAACATATCGTCGCTCTTCGCTTTGCCAACCGCTGCCAAAGCAAATGGTCAGCAGTTGCGCAGTCTAATCGACAATGCGTCCGCATTGTACAACTCGTTGCGTTCGTTGGGCAACGAGACACAGATCTGTCAGGCCATGCTCATCTCTATAGTCATGGGAAAGGTGGACCAGGAGACCAAGAGGAAATGGAATGAGTCATTGGATTATACCGTCTTGCCTTCTTGGGATAACTGTGTTCAAGTCGTCGAACGTCATTGCCAATATTTGGAATCGGATAAGAAGCCTGCTGCTGAAGCCTCTATGGTCCAACCAGGCGGCCATAGATCGCGCTCGCAAAGGAACCAGGCAAGTCTGTCCTTCAATTGTACAACGCAAACTTGTAACATCTGTTCAAATACAGATCACAAGACCTTTAGATGCCCAGAACTAATTAATCTCGCCCTAGAAAATCGTCTCAATGCAGTAAAACGCTACAAGCTATGCATTAATTGTCTCGGCAAGAATCATCTTGTCGCCAACTGCCCGTCTACACAGAGATGCCGCACCTGTGCGTTAGCGCATCATACTCTGCTTCATCGGCCCTCACCTGGGTCGACCGCAACTCCCTTGCCACAACCTCAAGCGGAGTCTGCACAAGTTTCGGACGCAGTCACACATACTCACACGGAACCGCGTTCCGATTGCGTCATCCTGGCCACAGCGCTGGTCCTGGTCAAGGATGCGTCCGGATGCTACAAAATAGGAAGAGCGCTTTTGGATTCATGCTCTCAGGTGAATTTCATATCCGAGGAGTTCGCCCAAAGTCTCCGACTGCCTCGGAGCAAACGCAACCTAGAGATTCGTAGCATTGGAGAGACGCAAACGCAAATCAAACACCATACAACCACCAATATCAAGTCGAGGCACAACCATTTCGAGCTACTCCTTGATTTTTGCGTGACATCACACATCGCCTATCACCCAGATTCGGAAATTGACATTTCCTCATGGAATCTTCCGCAGCATTCATCGCTAGCCGACGAACACTTCAACAAGTCTCGTCGCATCGATTTGCTTTTAGGCACGGAAACCTTCTTCGATATCTTGGCAGTCGGCCAAGTTAAATTAGGAAAGGATCTGCCCGTACTCCAGAAAACGCTACTTGGATGGATAGTGTCTGGTCGATGCAGAGCTCATCCCAGAACCCTCCATCAGTACTCATCTATCGTACTAGATAAAATTGACGAAAATCTGGAACGTCTATGGCGCATCGATCATGTAGTGACTCCCGAGAATACACTTACGCCGGAGCAGCGAAATTGTGAGGAGTTCTACACAACCACGGTACGACGCAACTCTGATGGTCGAGTGGAAGTACGACTCCCATTTAAGGATGCACCTACCGCTCTCGGAGCCTCATTCGACATCGCGAGGAGGAGATTTTTATCGCTCGAACGCAACCTAGGCAAACGGCCTGAGGTATGGGCCAAATATGTACAATTCATGCAGGAGTTCCAAGACCTGGGACATATGAGTCTCGTGGGTCACCCGCAGTTAAACACTCCGCATTATTATATTCCACACCACTGCGTGCTTAAGCCAAATAGCACATCAACGAAGCTCAGAGTGGTTTTCGACGCATCTTGCAAGACAACGTCCCAGAAATCGCTCAACGATCTTTTAATGGTCGGGCCGACCATTCAGCCAGACCTTTATACATTGCTTCTTCGTTTTCGTATACACCGCTATGCAATCACTGCGGATGTAGTAAAGATGTTCCGTCAAGTCAACGTGTCTGCCCAAGATCGCAGATTTCAATACATCCTTTGGAGAGCTTCGCCATCGCAACCCTTAAGCACCTTCGAATTGAATACCGTAACGTATGGTACGGCGGCTGCACCGTATCTGGCCATACGCAGCATGTCCTATCTAGCCGACCACTTCATGGACAAATTGAGAATTGGGGCTGAAGCCATCAAATCGTCGTTCTATGTGGATGACTTCCTGGGTGGATCGGACACGGTAGAGGAGCTACATCAAATCAAGAGGGAAGTTACAACGATTCTACAGGATGGTCAATTGGAACTCGCAAAATGGCATTCAAACCACTGTAAGTTTGTCGACGACAATACAATAAAACACTTACAGCTGGACGACGAGATGCTAACTAGCACGCTTGGCCTAAAATGGGACCAAGTACGGGACACCTTCATGTTTTCGTTTTCGCCAAGAGTAGAGTCAGACCACGTTACCAAACGCACTATCTTGTCAGTTGCATCGTCACTATTCGATCCGTTGGGATTAGTTACTCCCATCATCATCGTGGCAAAAATCATCCTGCAGGAGCTGTGGCTACTAAAGCTACACTGGGATGAGTCAGTACCCCAAGGAATCCATACAGCTTGGATGTCCCTTCTTTCGTCGCTTACGTCGTTGGAGTCTATAGCAATACCACGATATTGCCTCCAACCGGCTATACAATCTCTTCAGATACATGGCTTCTGTGACGCCTCCATTAGAGCGTACGGATGCTGCATCTACGCTCGCACAGTCGGATCAGATGGGCTAATCAAGGTACAGCTAATCACATCCAAGTCCAGAGTTGCTCCCACCAAGAAGCTATCTCTACCCAAATTAGAACTGTGCGGAGCACATCTGCTAGCACAACTCCATCAGAAAATTATTCGAATCTTCGCAGACAGAGAGCCAACCTCGTACTTATGGTGCGACTCTCAAATCGTTCTACATTGGAATCGCCAGCACTCAGCCACATTATCGACCTTTGTCGGCAATCGAATTGCTGAAATTCAAGAAATGACATCAGATTGTCACTGGAGACATGTTCCAACACACTGCAACCCGGCAGACATCTTGTCCAGAGGCTGCACCATCGCCGAGTTGGAACAATCGATATGGTTTGAGGGACCTGAGTTTCTACGTCAAGAACCGCAATATTGGCCTAGGGACAATAAAGACATCAATGACATTGATCTGGAAGCTGTGCAACTGGAGAAAAGAAAATCAGCGTTTGCCGTACAGACTACCAGTAATCCACTGCTTGAGGGAGTCTACAAATCCAGTTCATATCAGCGCTGCCTATTAGTCGTCGCCTGGATGTTTAGGTTCATTCACCGCTGTCGTAATCTCACGCCATCCCAGTCTCCATCGCACAGTGGTTGCGCCCATAGGCCAAAAATAAAAAAATTTATTACAACAAAAATGTACGAAAAGTAAACAGATCGTCTCTTAAATATCCAAACTTCTTTGTGGCATACCAGTTTTTTTTTTAAATCTACAAGGACTTTTTAAAAATTAAATGAAAGATGTGAAGATGTATTCATTTGCAAAGCGTAGCTACGCGCATCGCGAAACCGAACCGAACTTTGAAGTGGTCCGATTATTAATTACGTGTCCAAATTAATATTTTTTGTAATGGACTTTGAAGTTCAAGGTATTTTCTATAAAATGAGATATAATTTCATATATTAAAAATAATTATTGTTTTCATTATATTCATGTGAAATAATCATGTTTCTGGCCTATACTTTAAACGTATTTTTTATGTTTAGCTAAAGTTATAGTTGTGACCCCACAATAATCTACAGTTCATATGTATGCCAATGTGTTTGTCGCGCTTTTAAAATGACAAATGGTAAAAAAAATTTTGCCGAAATTTGCCTATGTGCCTATAATCTTAAAAATACTAACACAGGTTAGGGTAAGGGTTTTAAAAATTTTTTTGGTATTTTTTTTTTTTTTTTTTTTTTGTTAAATAAAGGTTTAATATCCTTAAAATATTGTGTACAAGTTTTATATCGATTATTACAACATTGACGAAGTTATGGGTAGTTGAACGGAACTCGTTTGGTGTTCGATGTATGAAAATCACAAAGTTTAAAGCGTTCTCCTGAAAAATGCCATTTTGAAAATCGGTGTACTCTATAACTCAAAAACTACTTAACCAATCGGTTTGAAATTTTGAACGTAACTTTGAAATTTAATTGTACAGGTACTCACGTAAAGCTTTTTTAAATTTTTAATGTTAATATATATATTTTTTTAAATTAACTTAATTTTTTAGTCGAAAATCTGGGTTTTGACTTCCAATTTTGATAAAAAATCGGGAAAATTTTTAAAAATAAAAACGTCTCTTAAGTACCTTGGGGCACTAATTCTTTAAGGAATGCAATACATTTTTTTTGATATCGGACGTTTTTGTGGACAGTTAGGATGTACACCGAAAACCAACTTTTATTTGTGGGGACTCAGGAGATTAGCAATATAGCGTAGGCCTGTAAATATTTTTTAATACAAAAATTTAAAAAAAATGGCTCAAATGTTTTGTTAATTTATGGTATTTAAATCATTAAGCTAACTTTAGCCGTTTCGCCAAAACATTTTTTTGAACAGTGGGCAGTTTTGCACCGAATTAGCCTTACCCCCTTAAGCTGTGTGCATTTGTTGCTAAACAAATAAAATACACAATATATAAGTTAATAATTTTTTTTTTACTTTTGGACACTTATATTTCACCAACATTCTCATTAAGGGATAAAAAATTAATTTTAGCTCTTGGAAAAAAATAATTTTATAAAAATTTTGTATGGGAGCTATAAGATATAGACATACGATTTTAACCAAATTTGGTAAGAATGCATAAACCTGTTCCAAACATATTATCTGTGAAATTGGTTAAGATATTTTGAAAAACAAAAAAAGTTTTTCATACTAAGTGTTGATTTTTAACAGATTGTTCCTATGGCAGCTATATGATATAGGCGTGCTACATGGCCAATTTTTTGGACATATACTTAAAACATTTTTCTTGATTTTTGGTATTAATTTCGTAACGATACATCATCTAGAACTATTTTTGGCCGCGTCTCCATACAAGCCCAACCACTGTGCATCGCCATCGCCAACGCCAACGGAATTGCAGCGGGCGCTGCATTGCATCGTCTGGAATATCCAAACCAATCACTTCGCTCAAGAGATATCATCGGTCCTGAAGGGCCAGCCGATTCGCACTAACCTTAAAAACCTTAGTCTCTTTCTCCAGGTCACAGATGGTTTCCAACTTCTAAAAGTCGGAGGACGCCTGGAGTTAGCAGACTACCCAGAAACCCAAAGGCATCCTGTCCTGCTCCCAGCCAAGGATCCCTTTGTCTCTCAGTTCGTTCGCCGTCTCCATCTCCAAAACTATCACGCGGGACCAAGGACTCTTGTCGGCTTAATTCGACGACAGTTTTGGATAGTCAACGCAAGGGACTTAGCGCGACAAGTCGTTCGCTCATGCATACATTGTCGCCGCTACCGACCAACTCTCGAAAAGCAGCTTATGGGGCAACTGCCCAAGGAACGCATCACACCGTCTCGGCCATTCTCAAGATGCGGAATAGATTTTTGCGGACCAATCAACGTCTATTTGCGCATCCGGGGTAAGCCGCCCACCAAGGCATACCTCGCCGTCTTCGTTTGCTTTGCCACAAAAGCCATACATGTCGAAGTGGTCTCAGATCTCACGACGGATAGCTTCATTGCATCACTCAAGCGCTTCATTGCCAGACGCGGGCTGCCTTCGGACATTTTTTGTGACAACGCTACTAACTTCGCAGGAGCCAACAACAAACTAGAAGCGTTGAAGCAGTTCCTCTTCAAGAAAGAAACGGCTGAATCGATCCATAATTTTTGTCGCAATGAATTCATTAACTTTCATTTCATTCCGCCCAGGGCTCCACATTTCGGGGGGCATATGGGAGGCTGCCGTCAAAAGCGTCAAGGGACTACTCAATCGCACTCTTCGAGACACCAGACTAACCTTCGAGGAGCTAGCCACAGCAGCTGCTGACGTCGAGGCGATTTTGAACTCTCGCCCATTAACGCCGCTATCAACCGACCCAAACGACCTGGCCGCTCTCACGCCTGGTCACTTCTTAGTGGGTGACGCACTCCGAGCTCTTCCAGAAGCTCCACCAATCGACGACAATCTGGACAAGCTGGATCGATGGAAGAAGGTCAGCGCAATTAAGCACCACATCTGGAGCCGTTGGAGCCACGAATACGTGAACGAGCTCCAAGTTCGCACAACCTGGACGAAGACTGCACCAAATCTAGCGGTCAACGACATGGTTATTGTTCACGAGGATAATCTTCCCCCACAACGGTGGCTTCTTGGCCGCGTAGTCAGCACCATCGCCGGATCGGACAACATCGTGCGTGTAGCCAACGTACGCACCGCCAAGGGAATCATCCGCCGTCCCATACGGAAACTCGCCTTATTACCTGTCTCTTGAAAGTCAATCGCATACTTTCAAGGGGGCCGGTATGTTGGGTCAAAACCCAAATAGTACATTTGATTATAGTCAAATTCCGCGCCTTCTGACTGTTAGGTAACATTACATCTGTTATACGGATGCTGCCAACTCATATGAACGAATGGGTGGCAGAGAGAAGAAGAAATAGTGTGAAAAAGAACTTGAAGTTGTACGCCATTAGCATTGTTGGAAAAAATTGAAGTTGAAGAGAACTGAATTAAGAATTATCAATAAAGTTATACAATTAAACTAGCACCTCCGACTAATTATTTTACACTCAAGAATAAAGCTCTTGTTTCAACAGCCTGTATCCACTTCAGAATTTGTATTTATATTAGTTTTTACATGGCTAATACATTTGAATACTCAATTGTAAATTTGTAAACAAAGAGTTCACATCTCAGCTAATAATGAAATTTGTAAACAAAAAGTTCACAACTCAGGTAATAATGCATGTATCCACGGCAGAATTTGTACTTATATTAGTTTTTATAAGGCTAATACATTTGCATACTCAATTGTAAATTTGTAAACAAAAAGTTCACAACTCAGCTAATAATGCCTGTATCCACTTCAGAATTTAGTATTTATATTAGTTTTTACATGGCTAATACATTTGCATACTCAATTGTAAATTTGTAAACAAAAAAGTTCACAACTCCGCTAATAATGAATGTATCCACGGCAGAATTTGTATTTATATTAGTTTTTACAAGGCTAATACATTTGCATACTCAATTGTAAATTTGTAAACAAAAAGTTCACAACTCAGCTAATAATGCCTGTATCCACTTCTGAATTTGTATTTATATTAGTTTTTACATGGCTAATACATTTGCATACTCAATTGTAAATTTGTAAGCAAAAAGTTCACAACTCCGCTAATAATGCCTGTATCCACTTCAGAATTTGTATTTATATTAGTTTTTACAAGGCTAATACATTTGCATACTCAATTGTAAATTTGTAAACAAAAAGTTCACAGCTCAGCTAATAATGCCTGTATCGACTTCCGAATTTGTATTTATATTAGTTTTTACACGGCATACTCAATTGTAAATTTGTAAACAAAAAGTTCACAGCGCAGCTAATAATGCCTGTATCCACTTCAGAATTTGAATTTATATTAGTTTTTACAAGGCTAATACATTTGCATACTCAATTGTAAATTTGTAAACAAAAAGTTCACAACTCAGCTAATAATGCCTATATCCACTTCAGAATTTGTATTTATATTAGTTTTTACAAGCCTAATACATTTGCATACTCAATTGTAAATTTGTAAACAAAAAGTTCACAACTCCGCTAATAATGCCTGTATCCACTTCAGAATTTAGTATTTATATTAGTTTTTACATGGCTAATACATTTGCATACTCAATTGCAAATTTGTAAACAAAAAGTTCACAACTCAGCTAATAATGCATGTATCCATGGTAGAATTTGTACTTATATTAGTTTTTACAAGGCTAATACATTTGCATACTCAATTGTAAATTTGTAAACAAAAAAGTTCACAACTCAGCTAATAATGCCTGTATCCACTTCCGAATTTGTATTTATATTAGTTTTTACAAGGCTAATACATTTGCATACTCAATTGTAAATTTGTAAACAAAAAAGTTCACAACTCCGCTAATAATGAATGTATCCACGGCAGAATTTGTATTTATATTAGTTTTTACAAGGCTAATACATTTGCATACTCAATTGTAAATTTGTAAACAAAAAGTTCACAACTCAGCTAATAATGCCTGTATCCACTTCAGAATTTGTATTTATATTAGTTTTTACAAGGCTAATACATTTGCATACTCAATTGTAAATTTGTAAACAAAAAGTTCACAACTCAGCTAATAATGCCTGTATCCACGGCAGAATTTGTATTTATATTAGTTTTTACATGGCTAATACATTTGCATACTCAATTGTAAATTTGTAAACAAAAAGTTCACAACTCCGCTAATAATGCATGTATCCACGGCAGAATTTGTATTTATATTAGTTTTTACAAGGCTAATACATTTGCATACTCAATTGTAAATTTGTAAACAAAAAGTTCACAACTCAGCTAATAATGCCTGTATCCACTTCAGAATTTGTATTTATATTAGTTTTTACAAGGCTAATACATTTGCATACTCAATTGTAAATTTGTAAACAAAAAGTTAACTACTCCGCTAATAATGAATGTATCCACGGCAGAATTTGTATTTATATTAGTTTTTACATGGCTAATACATTTGCATACTCAATTGTAAATTTGTAAACAAAAAGTTCACAACTCAGATAATAATGCATAATCCACTTCAGAATTTGTATTTATAACAGTTTTTACACGGCTAATACATTTGCATACTCAATTGTAAATTTGAAAACAAAAAGTTCACATCTCAGCTAATAATGCATGTATCCACTTTAGAATTTGTATTTATAATAGTTTTTACACGGCTAATACATTTGCATACTAAATTGTAAATTTGTAAACAAAAAGTTCACATCTCAGCTAATAATGAAATTTGTAAACAAAAAGTTCACAACTCCGCTAATAATGAATGTATCCACGGCAGAATGTGTATAGTTTTTACACGGCTAATACATTTGCATACTCAATTGTGAATTTGTAAACAAAAAGTTCACAACTCCGCTAATAATGCATGTATCCACGGCAGAATTTGTATTTATATTAGTTTTTACAAGGCTAATACATTTGCATACTCAATTGTAAATTTGTAAACAAAAAGTTCACAACTCAGCTAATAATGCCTGTATCCACTTCAGAATTTGTATTTATATTAGTTTTTACATGGCTAATACATTTGAATACTCAATTGTAAATTTGTAAACAAAGAGTTCACATCTCAGCTAATAATGAAATTTGTAAACAAAAAGTTCACAACTCAGGTAATAATGCATGTATCCACGGCAGAATTTGTACTTATATTAGTTTTTATAAGGCTAATACATTTGCATACTTGTGACGATGTCACAATCCCCTATATGTAAATATTGTATATATTAGTTAAGGTCATAGCTAAGTTAGCAAGTAAGTTAGGATTAGCCACACACCCACACACACAACTGTACATTTAACGGGCATGAAGCCCACAGTTAATTTGCCCAGGAAGGGCCAAATTAGATTTAGGCCGCAACGCACAGGCGTATACATTTTGTCAACACGGACTGTAGCGACCGCGCTGAAGCCATTTCCCCTCTCCGCTGCCGACGCGAACAGCGGCAGAGGCAGCGACATTTCCCCTCCAACGATCGTGCGTGTTTATGTTTTGGTCATGCTTATTTACATGCCGATCAAAACATAAACAATAACAATAACAAAGCCGACGGCCGAAAGCTGCGCTGCCCGGACCTTTTTGGCAGAGACGAGGCGACAAGGGCTTTGCAAACTGCGACCGCGATCACTTCTCTGGCGACAGCAAGCGTGAATAGTTGACCTCAGTCTCCGCGACTCGCGATTATCAAAACCGACAGCTAAGTAGAGCTAAGTCCAAAAAGGACCCGCGTGTGCCGATTTGCATCCTGGTTGCTAACATCAGGTGAGCCGGCCGAGGGCCATGTAAGGGCAGGTCATTGGAGTGTGGCGTAGGGCCAGGTTAGGGCCGACAGGCGCACATTAGAAAATGTAGCCATCAGAATTAAGCAATAAAATAAAGTAACCAAAATGAAGTCAGAAATTCCATCATCTTTCTCTCTCGCACCCGCATAAAACTCCGCGTAGCCACAAACAACCCTTATTTTGACGCGTGCCAAAACGTTCCCCTCTCGCTCACTCACTCGCCGAGCTGGTGGCTGGGTTTGACCGCACCAACTCCGCGTGGCCGCTGGGCAAGCTCCGGGCCGGAGAAGCGGGACGGGAGCGGGATTTGTCGCCGCTGGGTTCTCCCGGGCACAGATCTGGCGTGGGCATCGGGGCTGCTGGGTTTTCCCGAGCTACGAGTTCATCGCCGCCGGCACGTGTTCACAGATTTCCCCCTCTTCCCTCTCCTTTTCCCTTCCGATCTGCATCTTGCCCGCCATCGCCGCTGGGTTATCCCGGGCGGCGGAGATTTTGCCGATCGGAAGAGTCGCCGCTGCTGGGCAACCGGGCAGGCGCCGGAAACGGAGGAGCACCTGGCCATCGCCAGGGTAATCGCGCGTTTTAGGTTTCCCTTCCCCCTCTCCCTTTCCCTTTCGATCTGCATTTTGCCCGCCATCGCCGCTGGGTCATCCCGGGCGGCGGAGATTTTGCCGATCGAAAGAGTCGCCGTTGCTGGGCAACCGAGCGAGCGCTGGAAACGGAGGAGCACCTGGCCATCGCCAGGGTGACCGTCCAAGATTCCCATTTTCCCGAAGCCAGAGTTCCCCTTTTAAAACGAGCCCTTTTGCTGCCATTTTGCCACTGGAAAATTCATTAAAAATTCGGCGTCCATGTCCTGGCCGTCTCTAAAATATAAATATTTCTGGAGAGGAATCCTGGGCCGCTGAGGTTTACCCCGGCCTAAGACACATCCTTACAGATGGCGCCCGAGCAGGGACCGGTCAGGACAGCTAGGATAATTTTTCTCAGTGGATTAAAGCCCCACTGGCCGAAAACCAGAATTTTTTAGTAGAAAAAATATATAAATATAAATTTTTCGCGAAGGCAAAAACAGGAATTTAGTTTTCTAAAGGACGGGGATAGAAAATTTAATCAGGAAACATATTACAAAGACATATTTTTCGATCAGCGCACATTCGTTTTTACGAGTGTAAGAAATTTTCGTCCCGCGTGTCGCGACTTACGGTCGCCGGCAAAAATCTGCAAAAGTACAGGAGGAAAGGGAATAGAAAAAAAACGCGTGGTAAATTTCCATTGGTGCATACGCATCGTCGCCAAAACAAGCGGTACAGTTACGCCAGATTTCGTACAGGAGGAAAGGGAATAGAAAAAAAAACGCGTTGGTAAATTTCCATTGGTGCATACGCAGCGTCGCCAAAAACAA